TTGCGAACTGGGTATGGTGGATTAAGAACCCGGTTCAACGCTCGAGCAAGCGCTCTCCACTCAAGGTGTTCACAGCAACTGATAGGAACTCATATGGGGAAATTATAGAAAAGAAATAATAAGATAAAGAGAATAAATTTCAACGCACCTCAATAAACGGAGCCCCACATACAGTACCTCAGAAAAGTGGATCTTCCGACCAGTGTTTTTGTTGACGCCGCAACCAGATGATGTAGCTGCTTCGCAGAGACGTCTTACTGCACAAATTACAAATAAATTTTATTCTTCGATTAGAAAATCCAAGCGCTTTCAGAGCCCTCCGAAGAGAGTCCGGGATGAAACCACGCACACCTACCTCAACCGAAAAAGAAACGACCTGCCACCCGTTTGCTCGGCATTGATCGGCCAGATCCGCATACCGCCTGTCCTTCCGCGAGTTACTGACACTGAATCTGTCCTCAGCACAAACTGGAGAGAGAGAGAGAGAGAGAGAGAGAGAGAGAGAGAGAGAGAGAGAGAGAGAGAGAGAGAGAGAGAGAGAGAGAGAGAGAGAGAGAGAGAGAGAGAGAGAGAGAGAGAGAGAGAGAGAGAGAGAGAGAAAGAGAGATAGAAAGAGAGAGAGAGAGAGAGAGAGAGAGAGAGAGAGAGAGAGAGAGAGAGAGAGAGAGAGAGAGAGAGAGAGAGAGAGAGAGAGAGAGAGAGAGAGAGAGAGAGAGAGAGAGAGAGAGAGAGAGAGAGAGAGAGGAGAGAGAGAGAGAGAGAGAGAGAGAGAGAGAGAGAGAGAGAGAGAGAGAGAGAGAGAGAGAGAGAGAGAGAGAGAGAGAGAGAGAGAGAGAGAGAGAGAGAGAGAGAGAGAGAGAGAGAGAGAGAGCTGAAGGCCAACCATTACCACCAACTGCTGAGCTCCAGCAGGTCGAATCCGCAAAAGACTTGGCAAGTGATTAACGACCTTTGTGGTCGGAAGAAGAAGGACGCACCGTTGTTGCCACCTATTGGCAGCTTGAGTCAGCAATTCGGAGATGTCGTGACAGATCTCACTCGGCCATCTCGCCTTGTGCCACCCGCTGGTCCATACACGGAACGGCCACTCACTCGTTTCGAGCCCGTCACCTGCGAGGTGTTTGAACTTCTGCAGGCTATTGACGACTGAAAAGCAACCCGCAGTGACGAAGTTCCGTGCAGCATACTGAAACACTGCGCCCGTGCTCTAGCTCCTTCCCTAACCATTCCCATCAATGCCTCAATGGCTGAGGGGCGAGTCCCCAGCTCTAGCAAATGTACGTCCTCTTTTCAAATCCGGTGGCCCATCTGTCCCAAAGAACTATAGGCCGATCTCGCTGCTCCCAGTAGTGTCAAAATCATGGAGAGGATCGTCCTCAAGCGGCTCTGCCAGTTTATCCCGCCAACCAGTTCGCCTTCCGTCCTCACCACTCGACGGAGGACGCCATCACCATGGTTGTTGTTGTTGTATAAATAAAGTATACAACAACAACAACAACCATTGCCGTCGACAGCCTTCTCACGGCCACAGACCACAGCCAGCATTGTGGCCTTGTCTTAGTGGAAATGAGTAAGGCCTTCGACGAAGTTATAACCACCAAGCGATGGTGAAGGAGCTCCACGATGTTCGCCTAAGCTCAGTTGCCCTCGACTGGTTCGTGGACTACCTCATAGCTCAGTGGCAGACACCAGAGAGTAGGCTTAGCCGACGGGGAAGTCTCTGATACGACTAGCTGCACGTGTGGTGTTCCATAGGGCAGTGTGTTGGGGGCTGTACTTTTCTCCCTATAGAAGGAGCGTAGTGCTGTGCAGTTTGCGTCATCATGCAGCGCTGGTTCTGATGTTTGCTGACGATATCACCATGATCATGATCTTTATCGGCAGTTCTGAAATAGCTACCATCTGATCAACCGTGTCCTCTCAATCGCAGTGCCCGGAGTTACAACATTTCTAGCAGACAAGGGGTTAATCCTCAACGCGCAGAAGACCCAGGTTCTGGGCATCTCCGCTGGAAGGCGAAACATACTAGAGCTTGCAGTTACATGTTTGTTTGTTTGTTTGTATGTATGTTTTTTGATTCGCAAATTCAAACGGGCATAGAACCCAATAACATGAAAGCGAATATGAAAATTATAATGAGAATGAGAATTAAAATACTTAGATCTTCAGCGTAGAGTCGACTAGTCAGCGGTACATCAGAGGGAGATCGGGTACAACAGAAAGAGAACAGAAAAAAACAGAAGATTTCACATGTCGTGGCACTCCTCTGGCTCAAACCAGCACAGCCAAATACCTCGGTTTTTATCTGGACGAGCGCTTGAGCTGGGCAGGTCAAGTGGCTGCTGTAGTAAAGAAGGTGTCCTATAAACTCCGAGTCTTGCGCCATATCAGAGCAGACATCACTTGTGCGTAGTCCCTCCTTTACTACACAGCTATTATCCTACCTGACCTCCTCTACGCCTCCAACGCCTACTTCGCCTGCCTTTCAGCAAACCTCAAACAGATCCTCATCAGACTGGATAAGCGCTGCATACGCTGTATCACAACCCAGCCCTCATGTGCCCACGCTATGCAGCTGCATGCCCAACTCGGCATCTGTCTGGCTGTTGAGCAGGCGGATTGCAAGTTGCGGCTTCTTATACACCATATTCTTCATGGCAATGCCAGTTTGCTGCTCAAATCACGCGTGGAAAACAGTTCGCTGCCCCGTGCCACCCGAGAGGTCAGGATGCCTGCAATCTGCCCCTTCCCAACATCCGCAGTACTTCGGGATATCACAGACCAGTATTATTGAAAGTTTACTTTCATGGCTAATGCTAGGATGTTCGCTATCCCGAGAGATCTCTAGGCTCACTGTTTTCTATACTCCACCTTTCCAGGTTATCCTATCTTTCGTCCGTCTGGGCATGATTGTCCGTTTGATTTGCAATGATGATTACATAAAACAAATACAAAATACATGTACTTTGGGATCTCACAGCCTAGTATTCCTCTCTAGTTTCCTGCCCTACCACATCTCAATTCACACGTCCATTGAAAGTTCACTTTCATGGCCAATGTTAACATGATCCTTACCCTGAGAGATTCCTAGGCTCACTGTTTGTTCTTCTCTCCGCTTATCCGGGTTATCTAATCTTGTTCTTAAATTAAAATACTTTCTCCCTTTCCATCGTCATCATGACATTGGGTATGATTGCCATTTTGACTTGCGATGTAAAATAAAAGCAAATACAAATACAAATACTCCAGACCGTACATGCTCTTTGCCGGGCAGACGGAGCACAGCCGACACGCACCCTTTGCTGCCTGCATGTCAGATAAGTACCGAGCCACGCCACATTCTCCACAGGACCCGACCCAAATCATGGCTCGACAGCTTATGTAGAAGCCCGCGTGTCCATATTTTGTCGAAAGCCTTGCTTACAATGTAGGTCAAAGAAACGTAGCCTGCTGTAATGGCCGTTCTCACGAACAGAACACATCGATTGAACAAGTCTGAAGCTGCCAAGACGTAGAGTCGCCTTTTCGGAAGCCAGACTGGGACGAATGTAGAACAGGAGACAGGTAAGTGTATAAGTCTTTGTACATAATACGTTCACACAGCTTGGAGATTGTTGACAATAACGAAATCGGGCGGTAGTTCGATGCATCAAGCTTACTTCCCTTGTTCTTAAAGACCGGAGTTACAATGGCGAGTTTCCAAATAGCAGGGAAATCACCAGTTGCAAACGTGAAGATAAAGATGAGGCTGAGAGGCCATGCAATACTGAAACACAATGGTTTCAGGAGTTCGTGAGAAACACCGTCCGCTCCCGCAGCCTTTCGGGGCTTAAGTTGAGGTTCCGGATTTGCGTTGCCGCAGCAAAAGGCGTGGTGGTGACATCTAAAAACGTTGGTGTGCTTCTTCCACTTGATGGAACGTCGGGTGGCTTGAAGTCTGGCACATGTGGCCAACAACGATAGAATGATTCATCATTGGATTGACCAAGTGGTGCTGTAGCATGGAGGCAGGATATAGAGTCCGGTATATCAGTAATAACTACAGTGCTGGCAACTGAAATCCGACCCCTAGCCCTGAGCGGTGCCACACCTCGCAAAGACCCAACACGGGATTGTAACGCTACGAAATAGAGACCGCTAGAACCCACCGCTCAGGGGTCGGATTTCAGTTGCCAGCACTGTAGGTCTAGACTAGAGCTGCTCCCAAGCCGGACATTGACTGATGCGTTGGAAATTAATTTTACGAGCCTTTCTTGACTGAAAGTTTCTTGATCTGCCAGGTGCACGGTCAAACGCGCTGGTTGTGAAGCAGCTGAAGACTAAAGTAAACTGGAATGCCTTCGCCAACATGGCATGTGGAACAGTGTTACCAACAAGAGTCCATGAATTTAATGCTTGGTGTTACGTGAAGTGACCTGCACATTCCACATGACAATTACCATGTACGTGTACATGTACCACTGTGTGTCGATCCTGTCGAAGCCCCAACATGTCCTTCTCCGAACTGACGATACGGTGCCCGTATGTGTTACCGTATACTAATTACTAGACTAGCACCGTATCCGCGATTCGGACATGTGGGTAGCGCGCGCTGCCCCCAATGCCCCCATGCATGGCCCGCGATATTCGTCAGTACGGTACTACATGACTTGTACGGATTAGAGGGGATTTCCGTAGGTGTGTACGTGATCGTAGCAGAGTCTGAGCGCGTGCTACGACTGGTTGCCTGCATGCTGGGTACCGAGCTAGCTGCGCTGCTGCAGCGCTGGCGCATACAAGTGCGGGGGGGGGGGGGGGAGGGCCTTGGGGGGCCGGGGTGTACAGTACGATTTTAGTTGGGCGCCGGGCGGGCGCGAACGCCCGTACATGCGTTGCCCCCTGGCGCTGTACCGTCTACGGTCGTGCGCCAACCGGCCGTCGCAGCATGTCTCTCGTTCCGGTGACGTGACGTGTACAGTTCTCTATAAAAGCTCTTCTCTCTTTTTCTGTTCGTTTTTTTTTTGAATGCATGACTTTGATCTTTACATCTTGTTCATGATAATGGTGTTGACTGTGGAAATAAGAAATCAACTGTAGTTGATCAGTGAGAGCTTTGTTTGTGTCGCAGCTCCTGCCTGCCGCGAGCATGGAGCCTATTGTAGCTCCAGCCACCTCGAGTGAGCGTCGTTCGAAGGACATGCCGCTGATGGCGCAGCGATTCCAGGGAGGCAGCAATCCTTTCGTCGTGGGCTTCGATGTCACTGAGAAGGTATGAGGAGATGTCAATGCTGCCTGCTGTGTGTTCATGCCCACTGCTGTGCATACGTGTAGCGGCGGAGGATTATTGAGCTCCGTCTTGGTGTAGCACACGAAGTGCAGGCGACTTTGCCCTGGTGCAGTCTATAGGGATTCTTGTTTCGAAAACTGATGTCATAATTATCTTGCTCTCACAGCAGGAATTTTGTAGCTTATTTTTGAAGTATTAAAGTCAAGCTGATGGAAAATGAAAGAGATGACGCAGCATTACGAAATGTGTGCCGGATCCGTGGAGGCCAGAGCATTGTGGAGTGTCGCAATCGATAACACTGACCTTTACCATGACCAGGTGCAGAAGTGTAGAAGATATCGGTGAGCTTGGACGACGCTGAGACGTCCACGAAACAGTTGGACTGGTGTAGATAAGCTACCATCATGCAGAACACAATTTTCTGTGCAACACAAGCTTGCCAAATAACGCAGGTTTTGACTTCCTCTACTGTCTACATCACACATGCTGACTTTTTTCTATGACTTTTTTCTGTCCGCGACGCTACTTGAATACATGCCACGGCGACACCTGTAAAAGCCCCATTTTCCTATGAACCTGCTAGCTGTTGAAGGATCGATAACTTTGCCTTCCCTGGGGCGAATTCCACGATCTTCAGCTTCATGGAAAGGTCTTGAGACGAGGAACAAAATGGTTTCAAACCCAGGTCGCAGAGAAACCCAACGCCCGTGCTGCAGTCTGGCAAACTTCATCAACACGCTTGACAGACTTGAGCACGACCAAGGCTAAAAGAGCTCAAATCCTCAGCTGCCATTTTGGCCTCCTTGCTCGTATCGAGCTCAATTTTTTTTGTGAGCACTCCCGAGGTCGACTACCATCATTCGAATCTGGTTTCCATGGCAGCAGGTAACACAAAAATGATCCAAAATGGAAAATACGCGTTCTGCGGACTGCGCAAAAATCTACTTGAATTTGCCGTGTCGAGTAACATTATCTCAGCAACTGGTAATCGTATCGCTTTGACGATTGTTTCTATCGCAAGCTGAGAGTTTTCTCTTGCAGATACATGTTTCGCTCGTGAGAATCGACCAAGACTTGGGTGAGTTACGGCAGTTTGAACGAGCCACCGGGGACTCGATACGGACCCCACGACTATGAGATGCAGGTTCACTGTACTGTGTCATGCTGGTACGACGGGCGTGTGACACGTCATGTGACACGTCATGTGACACGGCGTGTGACACGTCGTGGGACACGTTGTACTACAGTCAACTTTGCGAGTAACGAAATTCGGCGGGGCATCAGAAAAGTGTCCTTATATCCAAAGTCTCATTTGAATGTATGGAAACCCATACACCTATGGTATAGTATGATATGCATCAAAACAAAGCTCGTCTCATGCTCGAAATCATTGTGTACTTTATTTTCATATCCACGCAAATTGAACTCGTGTCTTTCTAAAAAAAAGCTGGAAATTTGCGGTTTCAATAGTTTCTCGATACGGTTATCAATGCAATGCTGCTTGGCTTTCTCAACAGCATCAACATGATCGCCAGATTCAGGGATGGAGCGCAGATACTTCAACGTTGTATCGAGTGGCACAATGACGTCATTGTATTTGGGTATGGAACATGTATCTTCATCCTCCTCTTCACTGTCGCTGATGGTGATCTCTGCAGAGTCCGTGGTATTGTAATAGGTAGCCGAGTGGAGGCGCGGTGTAATCAACACGAGTTAGCTTTTATTCTTCTTCTCTCAGGTACACACCTGGGATATATTATAAGTAAAAGAAGAAGCGGCAAATAAATAGAACTTTCTCTCCGGTGCACACCTGGAGGTTGAATACTTCTTCTTCTCGGCTTTGTCGTTGCTATAAAATCTAATGAAACAGAAATGCGCAGCAGCTTTTATGCAACAGACGCCGTACGCTTACATACGGAGATACACTAAATATACATCAGGTAAAGTTCCGTATTAGTTCCGTATTAGCCAGGCAGGGATACTACAGTATCAAGGACATCTGCAAGCAACTCGATATCAGTGAGGTCACCAGTCGCTCCTATTGTGACACTTTCATCTATGCTGGCAAACTCATCGAAGGACATGCCTTCCTCTGCCAGCCCAGCGTCACAAACAGCAGACCAAAGTGACGTATCTTCTTGTTCGGTCTTATCCGGCGGAAGGTCTTCGTTTGGTGTTGCTGCTGCAGTTTCGGGCTGAAATCCCACGTGTCTATAACAGTTCTTGACAGTGTCGGATGTGACCTGCTGCCAAGAGGTCTTCAGCCATTGCACGGCACCCAGGAGGGCGATCGTGCATTCCTGGTCACTGTCGATGCAACTGATTCTTCGCTTCACAAGCAGCCGCCAGTAATGGTGCTTCAGGTTTTTGATGATACCTGCATCCATCGGCAGGGTCATGGAAGTGGTGTTTGGAGGCAGGAAGGAGATGCTTACGTTCGACAGATACAGGTGTGGATGACCAGCAAAGTTGTCCAGGATTAAGGCTATCATCCTCCTTCCCTCGCGGACCATCCTGTTGTTGCGTCTTTTACACCACTGCTCAAACAACTGTCCGGTCATCCACACCTTTTTGTTAGCTTCATACTCAACTGGGATGTTAAGCACTCCACGGGAGCAATGTGGCCGCTTACTCTTCTCAATAACGTACAGGGGCAGCTTTTCACCGTCCGCCCTTGCTGCTACCAACACTGTAACATGGTCCTTGGAGTGCTTCCCTCCTTTACATGTCTCTCCTTTGAATGCCAGCGTCTTCTCTGGACTCATTTTCCAAAACGGCCGAGTCTCATCTGCATTAAAGATGTCCTTGTCATCTTGCCGGATGCGGTGGAGCTGTGTGTCCAGCCATGTTTTCGCACTGCCGTGGTCTGCAGACGCGCTCTCTCTCTCCCACGATCTGCATGCAGGACACACCATGTCGTTTCTTCCATCGCTCAATCCAGTTCGAATCCAAGCTAAAGTTGCCGTAGTACGACGCGCGCGCTAAAGAGGTTACTCTTTGGTATCTGATGCTTGGTCCTGCCACCGCTGAAGCCGAAACCTGCCCCTGGGGAGGTAGTCCCCATTCATCAGCACCCTGCTCCGACTTCCCACCGTACTGTCATGTCTTCCCCTGGGTTCTGTCTTCTCCTTACGTTCTCTGCTGGACTGTGCAGTTCAGGATTTTTTTAAATGAACGCAGCTGGCCACCGCTCTGCGGGGTAGCGCACCTGGCGAGGCTAGTCACGTGGCATACGCACAAACATACGACGTGGCCCACTACACACCAGAATGGCTGGTGCAGCAGGAGAGTCGTCAGGTGACGAGCGGAGAGGTGGAGGCAGACCTGTAGCGGCCTGACTCCTAACTATTACGTCACTTCATACATAAGCATGCGCAAGAAAACGAGAGAGCTTGGAAGCTCAGGGCCCTACGCTATGCTTTTATGCTTTTTTGCCTAGCTCATCGTACATGTTATAAGAACTGAGGCAAAAGTATTTGCAGAATTTATTGCGGATTGTTATTTCTCTAATAATCATCTACTTTTGGTTTGCTCCTTCTTTTCTTTTTATCTCCTTATACTGTAAATCAACAAATTTTGGCCGATGAGAAATAGAAACCTCTCTATTACTAGAGAGGTTAAGATGCACGTTATTTCCGACGTGACGCGCAATTTCACGTCAACTTTGAAATCGATCGGTATTTTTGCTCTCACATGCATCCATTGCTCAATCATGCATCATTTGCCTATATGACAAACTTTGGCCTGCGATTTACTTTGGCCGGTTGGCACCAAGCGGCGAAATCAGCGAAATTAAATCGCCAGCGAAAATTAGTTGATTTTAATACAGTAATCGGATTTTCTGGCCTTTTTGTAGTAATACATGTACATTGACCTGTTGAGACAATGACGACGCCGAATGCATGGTTGCCTGTGGAGCACATTACATAACTTAGCAGTCTCCTAAAATACGTATCCTGTCCGACGGCAAAAGAGTCTGCAGATTTAGTTTTTCTGCGCGTCGACTGGATGTCTGCGACGCGAAAGTTCAGCTCGCGTTATTTGGCTCGCACGTCGAAAAATCAACGCGAGTGACCTGCTGCTCACGTGGAAATTTGGACATTACATAACTTTACAGTCTCCTATAATACGTATCCTGTCCGACGGCAAAAGAGGCTGCAGATTTAGTTTTTCTGCGCGTCGACGGGATGTCTGTCCTGACGTTCACTGGGACCGGCGCTGACTCTGCCGATCACGGGCGTTCTGGACTCGACGGTATGTCTGTCCTGACGTTTCCTGGGACCGGCTTCGACTCTGCCGATCACGGGCGTTCTGGACTCAACGGGATGTCTGTCCTGACGTTGCCTGGGACCGGCGGACTCTGCCGATCACGGGGGTTCTGGAGTCGACGGGATCTCTCTTCCGACGTTTCCTGTGACCGGCGCTGAATCGCTCGTTCACGCTTATTTTGGAGACGACGGGATCTCTCTTCCAAAGTACATGTATGTTTATGCTGACGCATCCTATCACCTATTTGGCGTCTATTCTAATTTAATTTCCTCCTCGTCTCCCTATTTCTTTCCAAATCTCCCTCTACATCAGGGAGTCGTATACATAATACGACGAATATTGGTACGGTACGGGACAGATACAGGAGCCCGCAAATATTGTGGACAGCTGTTATGTACAATTCTGTAGAGCCTTTGTAGTCACAGATACGGGACAGATACGGGAAAGCT